TTATGTTAGAAGCAATGATGATCAGGAATCATAATTCACGCTAATATAAAGGAAAGGAGTTCACATACTTTCCCAAAAAAGCACGGCACTGGTCTGTCACACTGACTTAGTGGCCTCAGAGCACTTGCTCTCCCTGGCTTCTATTCCTGATCCATCCGAAAGCACGCTGTCAGAGAGGAGTCTCAAGGCGTCCCAGTGGGACGCCTCTCTTCTACCTTCAGACACAGACAGCTTGTTCCTGGAGAAGGGAGACACTCCAGCTCTCTTCCCCATGTTTCACAACAAACTCTCCGAGTACAATAAACAGGCAAAGAGCTGCCATTACCTCCGGTTAACTGTTTGGGTTTGCTATGTGGAAACAAACTGCATTCTGCTCCCTGAGCTGTTTCTCCACAGTGACTTTGGGAGTAGGGAGGGATCAGGGCCAGGGTCCTACGCCACATGCACCACTTTCACCCACGACTCTCTCTGAGTTTATGGGAGGAGCCCTGGATCCAAATGAAGGAAATACTCACCTGTTTGCTAGAAACTCTCAGTCTCTGGGGGAATGTGTAAATAAGAGCAATTAAGTCATTAAATGCCAACTACGAGGTAAGAGCAGTTTCTAGTTTCTGAAGCTCTTTCAGCTGAAGCCTAAGTCATGGACTAGCTGAGCCCAAAAGTTACCGTACAACAGCACCAACAAAATGTGAGATCTTCCCTCTTCTGCTTGGATGTTAAGTCACCGGCTCTTGAAATCACTGAGGTTACTCAGTACTGAGATTACTTCATCTCCCCAGTGACAGCCAGGAACTTGGCAATAATTCACCCCTTGTGCCTGAAATGCTTCTCACTGAAGTCAGACCTAATAAGTGTAGCAAAACACAGAGAATTACAACACCACAAGGTGACTGAAATGGCATTCATTATTGATTTGCCATCCATTTCTACAGTGCCACATGAAGTTAATTAAATTTCAAGGTGCTGCTTCTGCCACAGAAAGAAGACTAAGCTGAGCAATACAGTATTTGTTTTACCATGAAAAAACTGTCCTGCTAGTTTGGACAAAGCATGCAGTATATTTTAAGGAGCTCTGCATTTACTATCCTTATCCCGTTCTCCTGTACAGAGTTATTTGCCAGTCAAGGGATGTACCAGCAGCCTTTCCTCCCTCAGGCAGAGAAGTCAACAGTTTTCCAAAAAGGAGTGGTCCAGCATTCAGGCTAAGCATGTCCAAACATACGCATACACACTAAGGTAAGCACGCAACTGTGCATACTCTGTGCATCTCCAACCACAATGTTCATAGCAGGACACATATTCAAGAGTGAGTTGACCAAGTTACATTCACAAGCTAATAGTCCTCGCTGAGATTCCCTGAGCACTGTCCTGTGCTATTGTGGTTAAATAATTTCCAGACAAGGTGGGCATCCTTGTTCTTACCCAAATGCAGATTTTATACCCATTTGCATTCAGGCTGGAAGACACCTACATGTTTGGCTTGCATTGCATACCTGAAACACCAATGAAAGTCTGCAGCTATTATACCCCAAATAGGTTATATGTGTACAGAAGTGACTATACAAAAATGCAGAACATAGGCAATATTTAGCTATTTGCACAGCTAATTACACACTTCGCTCAGTACTGTTAAAAAGTACCTCTCACATCAGAGTGTTTTACACCCACCTTGAAGTGAGAGTATACAGGGCAACAGAAGATTGAAATCAGGTTTTAAAATTTGATCCAACTTTCCTTTTTCATACTAGGCCCACGAGAGAATTTGAAATAGGGTACTGGTATGTGATTGTTTACTCAGGAAAAGTTGGCCCAAGCAAGGACAGGTTGTTGTACAAATAGTATAAGTTGTAAAAACATAAAAGCTTAAGTGATTATTATGCTGCAGTCAAGTGAGCATCACTTCCCTTACTTAAATATCACCATCTCCTCATTTTGAAGTTTGCTATGGCCCAGTCCTGCTCTTTTATTGGAAGATTTCAAATGTAATTAAATACAGGCATCCAATATATGCCTGATTTTGATCTGCTGTAAACTGATTTAATGCACTTGTGATACCACTGGCTCCTTATAGAGCTGCTATAACATTCAGATGAGGCAGGAATCAACTTTATCAACAGAGAGGAAAGTATGCAAATTCTACTATTCATAATTTATTTCTGCAGGGTTAATAAGTCCAAAGTTAAATCTTAGGAAGAAACACTACCAAACTTTGGAAAAACCTGTGACTAGGGTTTGTCTGCACTCAGTACTTCCTTCAATACCTCAGTGAAAAATCATGTACTGGGAGTGAAAAAAACCTCTAAACCAAGCACAAAAAGGCTTTAAGAAACATATTTGAGATAAATCTCCTAAGCCTTTCACATTTTCTCATCTGCAAGGAAGCCTACAGATCAGCTTTCATTTAAATAAAAATAAAAATTAGATTCCCACAAGCACAAAAGCTTTTCTAGACTCGTGATAGCATCACTAGACTTCACAACATTGACACTTCAGAAACATGAACCCTTGATATCAAATCCAGAATGTTCCTGTGGTTTGAAATTAGAGTTGGGGAAAAAAGTTTGTCTCTAGTTAAAAGCTTTTTATCAGTCACACAGACTCTCAGTGACTGCACATACTAACCCCACAGACAAGGTAGAGAGAAGTGCAATAGCTAAACCTCAGAGCTTGATTAATCTTTTTTTTCCCAGTATCTTCCAACACAATCTCCAGTTTCCTCAGTTATTGAATGTTCAAGCTTCAAGGGATCAGGAAGCTCTGACGAACCACAGCTTATCAGCACCTCCTCTGTTCCTAATTCCCCTATACTACAACTCTTTAGGTGCTGTAACCAGAAAACAGGAGGCAGCAAAAGGACAGCTACTGAAATTCATTCCTAGTGTTAACTAGGTGTCACTGAGAATGGGAATTGCACCTGCCCTCACTAAGACTTTATTTGACTAAAGCATTGGAAGCACACAACTCTTTTCTACAGTTTTGGTTTAAGAACTTCCCATGGAAGTTGGGAAGATATCAGTGATTTGAGCTGTTTTATAATCCCTAGCTTTGCAATTACAAAAGATAATAATCCACCCTGCAAAGAGTAATTTATTCAGGCTCCTAACTGCTCCCTGATATCTAGAAACTTTTTCCCTTGCCTCTCCAGCTTGTCTACATTAGCAGTCAGCGTGGCTCAGTAGGAGCAGACCTGGAGAATGAAACAGAGGCTGTTGAGGACCCAGCATGCACACCGTATGCATTTCAGGGCACAGAGTACTCTGAACCAGACCAGCCTGTTAGTCCTGGCGTGCATTAGATGCACACCTGGAGCACAAGCAAACCCCCAAGTGATGCAGCCTGTGCTCTATGCAGCACAACAGGGACCAAAGTGGGGTGAGCAGCAACAACTGGGAGATTTGTTTTGAAACCACACTCCCAAATCAAACTAAAATGCTAAGACAGGTATCCCCTATGCCATCACCATTTCTCTTGCACAACTTCTTCATCACACTTTCTTAGCATTCAAAGCTCAGGGAAAGCCTCACTCCCTCTACATCCTACACACAAATGTTTCATTCCCCTTCCTGAAGCTCCCTCCTTAATGATGTCAGGGCGAATAGCTGTTACTAGGAGGACAAAGTGTATATTATATTGTATTATATTATATTAGTTTGCTTGGGCCATCAGCTTTGGTATTCAGAGCAACCCTCATGGAGTCTGCCCACATCAGCTTATTTCCCAACACGCTTGGTCTTGTTCCATTCTCAGTCACTGCTAACCATCCTTGCCAGCAGCAGAGGCTCCTGTGCAGCGTGGGGCCAAGAGGGAGATTATTTTTATACGTTTCCAGTCTTAACTATCTTCCAGGAGAAATGAACAAATGAACCAGG